GAAAAAAATTTTTACATTTACTTTTTTTTTTTTTTAGACTACTCTTAGGTTTGCCACCTGTTTTTTATTTTAAGGCACAGCTGGTATTGGAGGCTGCCTGGCCAAGACGGTATTGCAGTAATAACAGCAATACAAATGCAAATATTTGTCTCCGTATAAATGGAGATTACTCTATAATACCAGCACCGGTCAGTAGGGGTCACTGTGTATGGAGAGAGGCAGGGATAGGAAGTTACAGCATCTCCCTGCCTCTCTCTGCTCACTGATCTGCGGGGGAGCAGCTACACAGCACAGAGAGTCCAGAGAGCAGCTCCCAGCCTGCAGAGACAGACTACAGCTAAGGTATGTGAAGGATGGGGAGAAAGGCAGCAGGGAGACATGGGGACACTGAAACACTAGGGGACACTGGGAGACGTGGGGACACTGAGACACATTGACACAGACATACAGGGACGCTGTGAGACATAGGGAGACACATTGAGACACGGAGACACTAGGGACACAGTATCTCCATGTCTCCCAGTGTCCCCATGACTCCCAGCCAGTGTCCCTAGTGTCTCAGTGTCCCCATGGCTCCGGGTGTCCCCTGGTCTCCAAGTATCTGTGACACCATGTCTCTCAGTGTCCCCATGTCTCCCGGTGTCCCCATGACTCCCAGCCAGTGTCTCAGTGTCCCCATGTCTCCCAGTGTCCCTATGTCTCCCAGCCAGTGTCCCTGGTGTCTCAATGTCCCCATGTCTCCCAGTGTCTGTGTCCCCATGTCTGTGTCCTTAGTGTCCCCATGTCTCCCAGTGTCCCCATGCCTATGTCCACAAGTGCCCTATGTCTCCCAGTGTCCTCAAGTGTACAGACACTTGTGTGTCCCCATGCCTCCCAGCCAGTGTCCCTAGTGTATGTGTCCCTATGTCTCTCAGTGTCCCTAGTGTCTTAGTTTCCCCAACTGTCTGTGTCCCCATGGCTCCCAGTGTCCCCTAGTCTCCCAGTATCTGTGTCCCCATGTCTCTGTGTCCCCATGTCTCTCAATATCCCCATGTCTCCCAGTGTCCCCATTGTGGCGAAACCGGCCTCGCCACGTGTCCTTGGAGGGGGCTGCTTGCCTGCCTCTTGCCTTTGGACTATGGACCAGACTTTATGTGAATGTGTTATACCCCAGATAGGAATCCCATGGAGCCCATTCGTATGAAACTGACTGTAAAGACTTTGGCTCCATGGCGATTAAACTGTATTTGTGTGGTCCGAGCGCCATTCACTTAATAATGTGCGCTCAGACCTGAGCTATCTGGGGATATGTGAAATGTCTGTGTTTTATGTATAAAATGTGACTTTATGTATTTTAAAGTGTTTTGTGTCTTTTTGCAACCATGTGCTTAATGGAGTCTTGTGTCTGTCCTGGGAGATAATTGAATTACTTATCTCCAGGATAGAAGACTCTGAAACTGGTTTGGGCCAGAAAGCCATGCTTCATTTAGTCACAAAGGACTTTTTACTAACTTTTGAACCCCTTGTCTGATTTGTGCCATTTTTGAATATGTTGTTCCCCTGAATGGATTGATTGTGAATATGTAATTTTATGTGAATGTGATGTATGGTTTTGGAGTTATGAAAGTTGGGTAGAAAGTATGTTTTAACTGTATGTATAATTGAGTTTCCTCTCAGGATAAGGGGAGGGAATATGTGGGATGTAACTGTGATGTGATTGGTTGTTTTGTAACGCCCTGTGGGCTGTACTATGTTTGTGGATTGGGAATAAAAGAGACTGTATGTGACAGTACAGGAGTTCCTGTTTTAACCCTCAAAGTGAAGTGTCGTCTCATTATTGGGGGAAGGATTTATTGTATGCTGTTCCAGTTTGACTTCTAGGAGAGTAAACCTATTCGTATGGTTCCTATTCAACTGTCTACAGCATTCATATGCTTGAGAGGATTCATATGCTTCTCCGGTGGTTCGGTGGTTGTGGTGTCTGCTGCAGTGTTTGGAGTCCTCAGGAAGCGCTAGGAGCATCCTTTAACGGAGGTACCCAGTCGGGGTGCCAGGCGATCCGTTACACCCATGACTCCAAGCTAGTGTATCAGTGTCCCCATGTCTCCCAGTGTCCCTATGTCTCCCAGCCAGTGTCCCTAGTGTCTCAGTGTCCCCATGTCTCCCAGTGTCTGTGTCCCATATCTCTGTGTCTTTAGTGCCCCCATGTCTCCCAGTGTCCCCAAATGTCTCAGTGTCCCCATGTCTATGTCCACAAGTGCCCCATTTCTCCCAGTGTCCCCAAGTGTCTGTGTCCCCATGCCTCCCAGCCAGTGTCCCTAGTGTCTGTGTCCCCATGTCTCCCAGTGTCTGTGTCCCCATGTCTGTGTCCCTAGTGTCTGTCTCCCCATTTGTCCCAGTGTCCCCAAATGTCTGTGTCCCCATGTCTCCCAGTGTCCCCATGTCTGTATTCACAAGTGCCCCCATGTCTCTCAGTGTCCGCGGGTCTCTCAGTGTCCCAATGTCTCTCAGTGTCCCCTAGTATCCTAGTGACACGGGACACACTGAGACATGGGGACACTGGGAGAAATGGGGCACAGACACTGGGAGACTAGGGGACTGGGCGACATGGGGACATTGACACTGTGATATATAGGGACACTGATGCCAGACTGGCCTTCCAATTCTTTGGACAGACATGCCCCCTTTTTGGGCATGTTCGCCCCTTTTGGCAGTTCTGGTCACGTGATTCGCGTCAGTGGCGCACCCTTTTACCCCGCCCATGGCCAACCTTAAGGGGTTAAAGCCGCTGACAGGTGAAGTGAATGGCTACAATGGCACCTGTCAAGAGGTGGGCTGTGTTAGGCAATAACTGAACAGTCAGTTCTTGAATTTTATGGATAAGCGAAAAGATCCAAATAGTGTTGACTAAACGAATGGGCCAGAGCATCTCCAAAATGGCAAGTCCTGTGAGGTGCTCTCAGTATGCAGTGATTAGTACCTACCAAAAGTGGTGCAAGGAAGGACAACAGGGGAAGCGGTGTTACGGTCATGGGTGCCCATGGTTCATTGATGCATCTGGGGAACGAAGGTAAGCCCGTCTGGTCCGCTCACAAAATATAGCTACTGTAGCTCAAATTGCTGAAAATCTTGTCAGAACACATAGAACATTGCAGTTTGCTGCATTTAGGGCTATGTAGCCGCAGACTGGTCAGAGTTCCATGGTGACCCATGCCCACCACCAAAAGCACCTTTAGTGCCTTGTGGGATGCCCTAAGGTGGCCAGCCAGCTCTAAGGCCACATGTGACAGGCGGAACACATAAGGCTCGATTGTACTTGCGACCTCTGATGTTCTGCCATGGACGTGAAAGTGAGCCTAAGAACTGGACCATGGAGCAACAGAAAAGGGTTGCCTGACCTAATGAATCATGTTTTCTTTAATATCAGGTGAATGGCCGGGTGCGAGTGCGTCATTTACCTGGGAGTGAGATGGCAGCAGAATGCACTACGGGTTGAAGGCAGGCTGGCGGAGGTAGTGTTAAGCCCTGGGCATTGTTCTGCTGAGAAACCTTGTGGAAGTAATTTTACATGTACCAATTACCTAGAGATCGAAACCACGTACACCTCTTCATGGCAATGGTGTGCCCTGATAGCAGTGGCCTCTTTTAACAGGATAATGTGCATTACCACACTGCAAAAATGACATGACATGACGAATAGTTCAAGGTGTTGACTTGGCCTCCAAATTCCCTATATCGTAATCTGAGTATCTGTGGGATGTGCTGGAACAACAAATCCAATCCATGGAGGCCCCAACTCGCAACTTGCAAGACTTAAAGGTTCTGCTTCTAATTTCTTGGTGCCATATGGCATGTTCAGAGGTCTTGTGGAGTCCATGCCTTGATGCATCAGAGCGGGATCTTACATAATGAGGGGAGCTACACACATACAGGGAGTGCAGAATTATTAGGCAAGTTGTATTTTTGAGGATTAATTTTATTATTGAACAACAACCATGTTCTCAATGAACCCAAAAAACTCATTAATATCAAAGCTGAATATTTTTGGAAGTAGTTTTTAGTTTGTTTTTAGTTATAGCTATGTTAGGGGGATATCTGTGTGTGCAGGTGACTATTACTGTGCATAATTATTAGGCAACTTAACAAAAAACAAATATATACCCATTTCAATTATTTATTATTACCAGTGAAACCAATATAACATCTCAACATTCACAAATATACATTTCTGACATTCAAAAACAAAACAAAAACAAATCAGTGACCAATATAGCCACCTTTCTTTGCAAGACACTCAAAAGCCTGCCATCCATGGATTCTGTCAGTGTTTTGATCTGTTCACCATCAACATTGCGTGCAGCAGCAACCACAGCCTCCCAGACACTGTTCAGAGAGGTGTACTGTTTTCCCTCCTTGTAAATCTCACATTTGATGATGGACCACAGGTTCTCAATGGGGTTCAGATCAGGTGAACAAGGAGGCCATGTCATTAGATTTTCTTCTTTTATACCCTTTCTTGCCAGCCACGCTGTGGAGTACTTGGACGCGTGTGATGGAGCATTGTCCTGCATGAAAATCATGTTTTTCTTGAAGGATGCAGACTTCTTCCTGTACCACTGCTTGAAGAAGGTGTCTTCCAGGAACTGGCAGTAGGACTGGGAGTTGAGCTTGACTCCATCCTCAACCCGAAAAGGCCCCACAAGCTCATCTTTGATGATACCAGCCCAAACCAGTACTCCACCTCCACCTTGCTGGCGTCTGAGTCGGACTGGAGCTCTCTGCCCTTTACCAATCCAGCCACGGGCCCATCCATCTGGCCCATCAAGACTCACTCTCATTTCATCAGTCCATAAAACCTTAGAAAAATCAGTCTTGAGATATTTCTTGGCCCAGTCTTGACGTTTCAGCTTGTGTGTCTTGTTCAGTGGTGGTCATCTTTCAGCCTTTCTTACCTTGGCCATGTCTCTGAGTATTGCACACCTTGTGCTTTTGGGCACTCCAGTGATGTTGCAGCTCTGAAATATGGCCAAACTGGTGGCAAGTGGCATCGTGGCAGCTGCACGCTTGACTTTTCTCAGTTCATGGGCAGTTATTTTGCGCCTTGGTTTTTCCACACGCTTCTTGCGACCCTGTTGACTATTTTGAATGAAACGCTTGATTGTTCGATGATCACGCTTCAGAAGCTTTGCAATTTTAAGAGTGCTGCATCCCTCTGCAAGATATCTCACTATTTTTGACTTTTCTGAGCCTGTCAAGTCCTTCTTTTGACCCATTTTGCCAAAGGAAAGGAAGTTGCCTAATAATTATGCACACCTGATATAGGGTGTTGATGTCATTAGACCACACCCCTTCTCATTACAGAGATGCACATCACCTAATATGCTTAATTGGTAGTAGGCTTTCGAGCCTATACAGCTTGGAGTAAGACAACATGCATAAAGAGGATGATGTGGTCAAAATACTCATTTGCCTAATAATTCTGCACTCCCTGTATATGAATTGAGTGAAACTATTTTTAAATTATTTTCTTTTTAAGCACACTCAATGGCACACAGACTGTTTACCCAGCACACACCCTAACTGACAGACACGCACTATCACTAATACCGACACACATAAAATCACACACACATACATTATCTCACACACACTCCTAAAGTAATTTTATTTATAGTGTATTTTCTTACTTTTTGCTGCCCAACCTCCTTACCTGTGGGGGATCTGGAGTGGATTCTCTCCCTTAAGTCTAGTGGGGCTGCTCTTCCTGCAATGCTCCCATTCACACTCTTTAGTGATGCCGAGGCCAGAGTGACATCATATCCGGCTACCAGCAACACCACAGGGTGCCCAAGATAGCTTTGCTGCCAGAGCGTGAAAATAAGAGATGACCTTCTCTCCTTCACATCATACATTTGAAAAGAGTAAGCACCTGCTGCCCAGGTAGACATATGCCTACTCTATCTTAGCACATACCTGTGTTTACTTCTGCCTCGTGGGATGCCCTAAAGTGGCACATGTGACAGGCGGAACACAGAAGACTCGATTGTACTTGCGAATCCTGATGTCCCACCGCGGACATGAAAGTGCTGCTCCCCAGCTGCTCTGATCATTTGTGCTGTGCAACAAGGGCCTTTCACTTCAGTGCTCCAAAACAGCTCACTGGCATGAATTACTATTTGAGTCAGGAAGTATAATTCCTGGGTTTCTGACTGACAAAGATTAAAGACAGAGCTATGAGAACCACTTTCAAGCCCTATTTTGCTACTTTAACAAATTAATCAAAAAGCCAGCGTGAACAGTGTTCCAGCACAATAACCACTTCAATTAGTGAACCACCACAATGAAGTGGTTAGGGTCCCGAGTGATTCTTTAATATGAATGCAGTATATTTATTAGTCCATTGCGATATATAATAACCGCATTTATACTTCAATTACTTAAAAACCTAGAAGCACATGTGTTTTTGTTTATTCTTATCATTGTTTGTCTTTTAATGACATTAGAATTTTTAGTGACTGGGACAGTTGAATGAAATGGCGAGGTTAAATCTTGAATGTTAAAGTAATATAAAGTAGGTGTGTTACATTGTTGTAAATTTGTGAGATGCTGTTTTTAACAACTTAGCAAGGCATGAGACATAATGGCTATGATTACTGATAAAACACTGCTCACTGTGTGCCCCATATTGTGAATATTAAAGTAATATACAATACATCACAATCTTTAACAGAGGTTCATTTCTACTTGTATAGTAACTATTCACTTCCCTTTTATCCCCGCCGAGTATTTGATGATCAGTCTTTATTACCTCTGTATATTTTATGATTAATATATAGATCTGCTTTGAACATGATAGCCATTATTTATGTTGCATATCTGCTGATAATTATTTGTTTATGAAGTTTTTTTTAAAAGTATATTCAGTGGTAACTATTTATTTACCTAATGTAGAATGATCAGCATTTTATCTGAATTGTATAATGTGACTATCATCATTAATATTGTGCATTTGTTATGCTATTTCCAAAAACCAGAATAG